GCTTTTTCTCTTCTTTTTTTTTATTTTATTTGTTTTAAATGTTTAGACGTGACACAGGGTCGAGATTTATGCGGGGGACCCGAGCGTTTCCACCCGGACCAATGGTCAAAATCTATCAAGCCCTCGCCATCGCGAGATAGTGTACGATCCTTGCCTGTTTTTTCTCAGCGGTGTTTCTGTCGCTAGATGGAGTTCCGACTGAATCGTCGTCTGCCCAAAGACAGGTTTTGACAAAAGCGAGCCAAAACCACCGCCATAGCCAGAAAGCGAACTGCCTGACTCCGACAACTTTTGATCAACTCCGTATTTACCCAGTCCCGCGAACCCACTGAGATTATATGTGACACAAGGTCGAGATTTATGTGTGGGGCCTGAGCGTTTCTACCCGGGCCAATGGTCAAAATCTATCAAGCCTTAGCCTTCGCGGGATCGTGTACGATCCTTGCCTGCTTTTTCTCAGCCCTGTTTCTGTCGCTAGAAGGAGCCCCGTCTGAGTCGACCTCTGCCCGAAGACAGATGTCTTAACAATAGCGAGCCAAAACCATCATTATAGCCAGACAGTGAACTGACTGACACCGACGAGGTTTAGTCAACTCGGTATTTACCTAGTCCCCCCACTGAGATTAGATGTGACATAAGGTCGAGATTTATGTGTGGGGCCCGAGCGTTTTCACCCGGGCCAATGGTCAAAATCTATCCAGCCCTCGCCTTCGCAGGATCGTGTACTGCCCTTGTCTGTTTTTCTCAGCCGTGTTTCTGTCGCTAGAAGGAGCCCCGTCTGAGTCGCCCTCTTCCCGAAGACAGAGAACCTTGACAGTCAGAGTCAGGCATCGCACTGCCGGACTTCGACGAGTTTTTGGCAAACTCGGTATTTACCCAAGACCTCCCCACAAGGTGGTAAGTGGCACAAGCCGTTTTTTTTTTTTTTTTAACGCGGCTGTCTTGTCTGGGGGAGGAGACGGTGTCTACCTCCCCAGACTCTGTCCATAGGCATAGCATCGTGCGAGTTCCTCTCCGCTCAAAGGCAGAGAGTTTTGATAGACCTGAGATTTCGCTTGACCTCCCACCCCCTGAGCCATGTTATGACACAAGGTCGGTTTTTAACGTGGGGGGCGAGTCTAAGCTGGTCATAGCTAGTCTAAGTTGGTCATAGCTAGTCTAAGCTGGTCATAGCTTGTTTGAGCCGGTCATTGCCAGTCATTCCAGCGTTACGTAACAGATGTTACGCTACGGTGTCGGTGGTTGGGTGGGAGTGCTCAAGGGAAGAGACACTACAAGCGCAATTTTAATATTTGATTTGAATTTCATTTTAAGTATGGTACTTTTTATTTAATAAAATAGCAAACAATTTTTAAACCATTGCTGAAATAATATGTCATGAATATAAGTGCTTTTGGAGTTTTTTTTCGGAAAATTCAAGAAAACAGCATTTTTTTAAATTTCTTTACGTACACCAGAATACTATTGATTATTAATTCGAGAATACTATTGAATAAGTACTCGTGAGTACTATAAAAGAAGCACTCGAGTGTACTATCAAGCAATTAAGAGTACGATCGAATAAGCACTGGTGTGTAGTATCGAATAAGCACTCGAGAGTACTATCGAATAAAAAGTACTATTGAATAAAAACTACAAAGTCATACCGATTAAGAATGATATTAGTCGCCTGGAAAAAACTGTGAAAATTTCGCGGTTTATTGTTTTAGTTTTCTGATGAAACATAATTCTTTTGTTATTGATTGAATTAGCTCATAGCGTGTTCAACAATAAACTATCCATAGAAACTCCCCTATCACATCGTTAAATATTTGAGCTTTAACAAAATATAACAATAAGAATCATAAATATGAATGCTGATCATCATTTTAAGAAGTAAGGGGGTACAAATGAAAATATTTGAAATTGACAAACTTTCACTGAAACAGCCGTTAAACATTTCTATCTTCCAATCTTTCTTTCACTAAAATCAAGTAGTGACTCTGATATGCCTTTTCGGTCTTTCAGTTATATATTTATAATGAATTCACGTAGCAAACTGAATCACCTCTTAAAATTTAGAAAATTAATATGCATATATTTTAAGACATTTTTATGTTTATACTTTCTTTTTATCGATACAAATATTTAAGTAAATGCTCTGTTTATAATAAACAGTATTAAACAACATTTACCAACCTGAATGTCCGAGAAATTTTTCACAGAAAATATTCGTCGTCCGACAGGATTCGAACCTGTATCCTATGATGAACATGTCATTTATCTTGACGCGCCTTTACCGATTTGACCACGAAGGAGGGTTCGGCTAGCAAGGTCGAATTTACTGTATTTAAACTTCAGTCTTCCATGAATCTCTCACGTACATTCATATCTGCTCATGGCGTATCAAATGTAAACAAATGACGTCACACATTATGGACAAATGGACAAATATATATATATATATATATATATATATATATATATATATATATATATATATTTATAATATATATATATATATATATATATATATATATATATATATATATATATTCAAAATTTGAAGGATTTAATCGATAGTAATCTGGAAAAAAACTTTAAAAAAATTATTATTTCTCGTGGAGGTTCGTTTCTGAAGAAAAGCCGTCTTTTAGATGGTGATTTTCGATTACGTTTACTCAAATGGAGGTCAAGTGACAGGCATCGTAGATTTGCTGCCAGTTTTACTTTCCTTAAACCCCAATTATCTTTCTGTTGTGGTGTTTTCCCTCTAATGAGTCTATTATGGAATCTTCCACTTACTATAAAGTAGTAGGGAAAAGTAAGCCTCGGAAGAATGGTACTATAGCCTGTTCAACTGTCGAAATCTCTGCCTTGAGGAACCCGGACGAAGCTTTGCCGAAGGGCAAGGTTTCGTCCGGGGAGGTAGACAGGGCCTGAACCCGTCTAGGCGGGTTCGTAGGGAATATTTTTGGCCGAGCCTACACGCTCGGAGAACCCACGATAAACCCGTCCTTGTGCCACATACGACCCACTTATCAAAATAAGGCCAGATTAGTACAACTGGTATCATAACAGCCACCGCAATAAAAAAAAAATATTATCTGATAGTGAGAACCGTGGAAGATTTGAATCTCATGATGAATTCAAAAGGAAAGTTATACGATTTAATTTATTTATATAATACTGTTGGTTAACCAAATAAATGTTGGACGGCTTTGCGAATATCTGGGGGTTGAAAGCAGGTACTAACCGAAACATTTATAATCAACCAATCATTTATAATAATAAAAATATGAAGAGAAGACAGAAGAATAAAATGGAAATTTTATTTTCTAAAAACTAAAATATACCAACGAAGTATAAAAATATATTATATACCTTCTCCCCGACTCCACAAAGGAAAAGTAACGGATGTTGCAAACTCTTGTCTCTATTCGTAAGTAAAGTGCACTTTATGTTGTAACGGACTGTCAGTCAGAAACGCATATTTTTGCTCTGGTATCTACGAAAACACTGTCAAAGTAAAAATAAAAATAAATAAATAAAAAAAAAGAAAAAAGAAAAGGGAATTAGAATAATTGTTTTTTTTTTGTTTAGTTGTGGATTGATTTGTTTTTACGGCTTATCAACTCTCTGGGTTATTTAAAGCCGAAAAATATTTTGTATTGTAAAAATAATTCTATTATTTTTTTTTGCTAGTGAATATTGGATCGACATTTTTAGAATAACAGCGATTTTTACAGATATAATTCTTACTATTTAACCCATAGTTGGGGGAGATTGATTTATATATTTACCAAGAGTATCTGCGCGTATATAAATATAATGAACACAAATGGAATTCGAACTTGGCTCTCCGATTTCTTTTTACAGAAATTGGTTCATGCTAAACAGTCTTTTTCGTTAGACTCTATTTTGCATATTTATAAGTCTACCGTTCTGCAAAGCATCTGAATATGGTCGCCACAACTGGTCTGGTGCTCCTGCTATATATTTAGAGATTCTTGATAAAATTCAAAGAAGAATCCGTTTTGTTATCAGTCTTGGCCTGGCATCTCGGCTTCAGTCATTTTTCTTTCACTATCGTAACGTAGCTGCTGTGTGCCTTTTATTTTATTTTATTTTATTTTTTTATAAATCCTTTCATGGTAATTGTGCTAATGAATTAGATTTGCGGCAAGAGTCTGGCGGGAAAAAGCGTCTCGCACGATACAGTGAACCAACTTTCCAAGCAGCAGACCTGGCAACTGATTCAATACAATACACCCACTATTTGTCATCTGAAAAAGGTAGTCCGAGAATGCGCAATGAGTCACTCTCCTGGGGGTTAGCATCAATCATGTTGATGGAAGGTTAAAAGGGTTTCCTCAGGTGATTAAAATAGAATAGTTTCGTTCTTGAGGCGTTAAAATGAACAAGTCAATTCTTGCCCCAGTTAACAACAGATTGTAAAAAATATAGCGTTTATTAGAAAATATATTCAGTTTAAATACAAGAGTCATAAAAAAGGACTTCAAATGTCACGCATTTCATTTTGCATTCTTTTTCTGTTCTCTTCGTTCATTGCCAAGCAGAAAGGGTAATTAGTTCTCACAACATAGCTATCCTTCTCAAATTCGAATTGTGTGTATGTAATCTTGCAAGAGTGCATGTTCATTCTAATTCAATGACAGATCTAAAATATTTCTACCAAATTTACGAACAAAAAATAAAATAAAAATAATCAGCAGTGCCTTTTTATAGTCATCTGTCACTTATATGATAACAGATTGATTGTTTTTAAATTTACATATGGAGCGAAGTAATCGAACTAAGTGACGCGGTTAATCGAAATAAGTGCTACGAAATTTGTTGGGATAATAATAATTATAAAATAATAATAATTAAATAATTGTGCTTGTCACTTCTTTCGTTAGATCCTTAATACGCACGACCGTTACGCTCTGCCAATACCTCATAAATAATAAACTATTTCGATTTTGATCGCGTGGAAAGACAAAAAAAAATCATGTTACTTGGTTTCAGTGAAGGTGTGCCAGAGAGAGAGAGACAGAGACAGAGACAGAGACAGACACACGGACAGAGAGAGAGACACGCAGAAAAAACAGAGAGAGACAGAGAGAGAAAGAGAGACAGAGACAGAGAGACAGGGAGAGGCAGTGAGACAGAGAGAGAGATAGAGAGAGAGAGAGAGAGACAAAGAGACAGACAGAGAGATACCGAGAGAGACAGACAAAGAAAAAGAGGCACACGGACAGAAAGAGAGAGAGAAACAGATATAGAAACAAATATGTATATATATATATATATATATATATATGTATAGAGAGAGAGAGAGAGACATAGAGAGAGAGAGAGAGAGAGAGAGAGAGAGAGAGAGAGAGAGATTATTTTACTTGCTTTTAGTCAAGTGAAGTAGCCCCGCTTCACAAACATTACTTCGGGTCCAAATACAAAGGCATAGATAGATAGATAGATAGATAGATAGATAGATAGATAGATAGATAGTGAGTGTATGTGTGTGTGTGTGTGTGTGTGTGTGTGTGATAGAGAGAGAAAGAGAGAAAAACCTTACTTCAAACTTTATGACCGTCATCTTCTAAGTGGGTGTCCCAATCATAATGTCACAACAACACACGTCATAGTTTGTTATATCATACGCACCTAATCAATATCAAGTTGATATTATCGATTACAGCGAGACATGATACACCAGCAGCTGTTGAGTCAGTAACACTGTTGCCAGGGTAGATCCTACCCAATCATAGAAAGTCCAGAGCCGTCCCTATGTACCTTGTCAATTGATTAGGTAGTTTAAAATTCTTATTAAGAAGCTGCTTAGTGTGTGTCGATTGACATATTGTAGTCAGCCGAATAATCTGGCGTATTGAACGAATCAAAACATGCATGGGGAGGGGGGGAATGGAGCGTACATTTTAGGAATAGCCCAGGATGCTGAATTCCTGGTATCATTCCTGATCAAGTTCATAGTCGCTATTATGTTGTTGTCTGATGCTTGATTCCATTAACGTCTCAAACTGGAATCAATCGTTATAGCGACGAAATGATTTCTATGTTTATCTGATTGATTTGGTTTTTACGACTTATCAACCCTTTGCACGTTATTTAAAGCCAAGAAATATTTTTAGATTATAAGAAATTTTTGGAGATAATAATTATTTACTGATACAAGTTCTACTAATTAACCCAGACCTGGGGGGTGGTGAGAAGAGGTGGATTCATACCTTTTCAAGGGGTATTTGCGAGTAAGAAAATATAATGAACTCGACAGCAACTGGAACTCCGGCCGCCGATTTACAATTCCGAGCCGTTATCCATTACACCACCCGCACATCCAAGCTTACAGCACCTGGTATTTCTAAGCGGTTACTCATCTAGGTAGTGACCAGGCACAACGTTACTTAACTTCGGCGGTCGTATGAGAACTGATGTTTGAAAGTGTTATGACTGTAAGTCTGAAATGATTTCTAGATTAAGAAACTGGAATCGCCATGAGCCTAAGGTATTTAATAATTAAATAATTTCTTGATTAAAAATGTGGTATCGACCTATACTTGAGATTTCGCATCAATGAATTGAGGGCATGACTAAAATTAGGGAATCGACTTATACACGATGTGTTTAATGAGTGGATGATTTGTAGATTAAAATATAAAATCGACCTATACAGGAGGTATTTAATAAATGGATAATTTGATTAAAATGTGGTATCAACCTACACTTGAGATTTTGTATAAATCAATTGAAGATTGGTCTCAAAATAAGGAATCGACTTATACACGAGGTGTTTAATAAATGGATAATTTATTTATTAAAATGTAAAATCGACTTATACACGAGGTATTTAATAAATGGATGATTTGGTTAAAATATAGTATCGAGCTATACTTGAGATTTTGTATAAATGAACTGCTGTCTGGTCTGAAAATAGAGAATCGACCTATACGCGAAGTATTTAATAAATGGATGATTTATTCATTAAAATGTAAAATCGACCTATACACGAAGTATTCAATAAATAGATGATTTCATTAAAATATGGTATCTCGCTATACTTGAGATTTTGTATAAATGAATTGAGGTCTGGTCTCAAAATAGAGAATCGACCTACACACGAGATGATTTGATTAAAATGTGGTATCGACCTATACTCTGAGAATTTAATAAAGGAATGAGTTCTGTTTGAACAATATGAAATCGACGTATACACAGAGTATTTCAATATAATTAGATTTATGGGATCGACCTATACACTAGGTATGTGTAATGCTTCAACGAAAGCTAGAAATGCCTATTACAGTCATTCTCATTAGATATCAGAAACCGGATGTTAGATGTTTCTTGATGAAAGCGTAACCAATTTGATGTATTATATCCGACTTTCTACATTTTATTAGTTCGTAAAACATTCATTCAAGCACAATCCCATAGTCTGGACAAAACCAGTTTTGCAACTGACTCACATTCGATGTAAAAGTCTTATTGCTTCTTTTCTGCTCATTTTAGGACAAAAATAGAACGAGATCTTTTTTTTTTAACAAAGCTGATTTATTTATTATGAGTTGCAGTCTCTTTAGATTCCATACTTTTATTTTTAGATGCCCTCATAATGTCTATGACTTTCAGCAATAGTCTCTATATGTCATTTAAATTCTTAAAGGAATTTCGTTTATGGCATATTCACCCCTTCTTAAATATCGTTGAATTTGAATTTGCCTCTACAGGTCTCTTCTCCTTTGAAGAAGTAAACATATCCATTGCCATCACCATTCGTCCTTGCATGGAATACTGCTGCTATATATGGTTTGGAGCCCGCGCTCAAGGTCATCAACAAAATCCATTTTAAGAATGTTGTCTTTAAATTTACTAGTCATCACTCTTATTTTCTGATAATATCGTGTATGGTCACGTTATATTTTATATACATAAAAAAAAATTCAAAATTCTTTTATAAATCTTGGTGTTTGATGAGTGGCATTAAACTTCACTATTTATGATTAGTAAATATAGTTTTCACTTAATAATAATAATAATAATCTATATGGCTGAAATTGATACAGAATTTTAAGATTTAAAATTTAATAAATTTTTCTAATTTAGAAAAAAATGAAAACAATTCAACAAATTTTTTTTTCTTGAGACAATAGTGTCCTTAATATATTATCTTATTTATAAAAGAAATTAAAAGCTTTCCTAATTAAATAGTATCACGGTAAGTGCTCCGACGAGCTGCTTTCGCTGGTTCCCAGACTGCATGAATTTAGACGTGCCATTAGGTTGGCATCTCAGTCCCACCCTTTCACTGTCGAAACTATTAAATATAGCCGTCTCTTCTACTCCAATAGCTTCATGTCTCGCACTTCCCGTCTGTGAAACTCCCTTCCTCTTAATTGCTTCCCTGATAGCTATAATCTCCAACTATTCAGATGTAATGTCAATCGATATCTCCAGATGCCTTGATCTAATTTCCTGTCCTTCTCTTCATCCTTTCTTCTATCACGCCTCTTTACTCTTGTCCCACTCTCTGTAACCCCTTACGTGCTAGTGGCACTCCCGCCTTGCTTGGGGTGAAATGCTTTAAAAGAAATAGAGACCAGAGGTTGGCAGTCTTTTGCTATGTGCCGACTTAGGGTTTTAAAATCATTCAGTGTGCCAACAACATACGTATTTTTATACAAGTCAAGATCAATATACTTTTTCTACAATATATTCTATGTAAAAATTTCTTAGAATTAAACTGTAGAAAAATACAATATCTATGAAGTAAAAAAGACAATAAAAAACTGTAGTTTTAGCCAACGCGTTTCGTCCAATGCATTTGACTATATGAATATACAATAGCGTTTCTAAATTCTTCTAGTTGCCAACGACATTTTGTTTGTTGTTTATAGATACATAGATATATATATATATATATATATATATATATATATATATATATATATATATATACTTTAGTATATATTAAAATTGAAACAGCTAAATATCTTCTGTGCGTTGTAGTAGTTATTGGTTCGGACTTCGTGATGTCATTTGCGGCTACGTGCCACTAGAAATTGCCTGGCGTACCACGTGTGGCACGCGTGCCATGGGTTACCGACGCCTGATATAGAAGATTAGACCTTACGTACATGTCTCGCATTCTTTTACCCAGGATCAGTAGCATTAGAAATACGGTTCAAGGTAACAACAGCCCTGAATTGAGTGACCGCTTAGAAATACCAGGTGCTGTAATCTTGGATGTGCGGGTGGTGTAATGGATAACAGCTCGGAATTGGAAATCGGCGATCCCACGTTCCAATTCCGGGTTTGTTGCATTAACTTACGCGCAAATACCCTTGGAAAACGTATGAATTGACCTTTTTCTTCTCCAGCTCTGGGTTAACCTTGTATCAGCAAATTATTCTTCAAAAACGTCTTACAACGGAAAAATATTTCTGACTGTAAATAACCTAGCAAAAGGTTGATGAGAAGTAAAAAAAAAAAATAGTCAATATCCTGAATATACAGTAAAACCTCGACTTACGTCATTTTACTCGAGTTTACGTCGGCCGTTAGAAATATTAGAAACGTCAAAACATTAACACATATAAAATTATATTTAAATAAATCTTTAAAATATTATATATATATATATATATGTATGTATAGGCGTAACGTGGCCTTCGTCTGTCTCTTCTGCAAGCAAGTATTTTCACGGTAACTGTTCCGACAAGCTACTTTCACTGGTTCCCGGACTGCATGAATTTAAGCGAACTACTAGGCTGGCATCTCGGTCCTTTCACTGTTGAAACGGTTAAATGTAACCGTTTCTTCTACTCAAATAGCTTCTTCACCTGCACTTCCCGTCTGTGTAACTCCCTTCCCCTTACTTGCTTCCCCGATGACTATAATCTTCAAATATTCAAGTGTAATACCTGAGTGTAATCTGAGCTTGTTCTCCATCTTTTTCTGCATCCTTTCCCGAAATATGCCTCTTTACTCTAGTTCTTAATCTTCTGTAACCCCTTACGTGCTAGTGCCTTGCTTGGGGTGAATTGCTTTATATATATATATATATATATATATATATATATATTGGGTTGGTGAATAATTATCAGGCGTTTTAAACAAAATTTATTATGAAAAAAGAAACATAACAATTCGACAATGACATTTTTAAATGATTATTCCAGAACATATGATTATCGACACGCATTTTTATAACCTGAAAATAGAATAATATTTTTATTAAAAAGTAAACAAAATAACAATTTTTATTAACAAATAACTCGCCTATAAAAACGCCAGATAATTATGCACCAACCCAATATATATATATATATATATATATATATATGTCGTATGTTTGTTGTGAGTAGTCATTCCGCAACTGAAAACTTAAATCGACCTCTGAAACGGCAATGTTTTGAAAGATTTTTTTATAACTGTGCATAATACGCACTTCTGATTTTGCTCATTATTTTTTAGAAAAAAAAAAGCGTATTATACATGGGAACTACGGTATATCTCTTCTTTGTGAAAATGCTACTTGGTATTATTTGTACTGATTTTTTTTTAATCATTTAACCTCAAGCAAGGCAATAAAGCCACTAAGATGCCTATTTGAGAATATGACAGAAAAAAGCACTATTAAGGAAAAAAGAACTCCCCTAATGTAGCAAACATGTCAGTATGAATATCCTTGCGGTGGGTGGGTGGCTTTAAACTATTTTTCTGCAGGTATTTGACGACAGTACCATGCTAAATTTTGTCCATTTTCAAGAAAAATCGCTACTAGTTACCTCTGAAGTCTTCTTTGAAAAATCGATGTCATTTTACCTGGAAATAAACAATGCAGTTATTAAGAAGAAACGTCGAAATTTATGCGTGCAAGATTTCATAGTTCTAGCATCACTCTTTCATAATCAGCCTATGAACTTTTCAGCCTACCCTCGTATATACAATCTATGGCAGCATTTAGGACATTTTAGCCATGATTACATATATGTGGGTCATATAACGTAATGTGAAAGTTCCAGAACGTTGCCGGAATTTTGAAGTTTCCGAGGCTTATGGAAAATTAGCGTATTTTCGAAGATTTTTAATATTAAAAAGAAAAGTCATTTCACCTCGAAGAAAGCAATAAAGCCACTAAGACGTAAAGGATTAGGGATTTTTGAGAGAATATGAGAAAAAAATATGAAAGAGAGGAAAAAAAATAAAAGTTCAGGAATTAAGAAGATAGAGGATAACGATTGCGTTTAAATTTTTGAAATGGGAAGCAAAAAGCAAGAAGAGAGTTCCACAAGCGAGAAGTGCGATTGAAGAAACTGCTAACATAGAACTTACGGTTACATTTAGACATTTTAGCTGTAAGATGATGAGATCTTGCCGTCAATCTGGTACTACATTTAAATTCATAAAGTTTAGGTACCACAGAGGAAAGCTCATCAGACCAATTGCCATGA